AATATTAGACAAATACAGGAGAGCTTTGACTGATTTGGGAATTAAAGTGAGCTACTTTAAAGCTTGGTTGGCTAGGTGTAGGGCAAAGCTAATTATTTTTGGCTCTTCAGCTGAGCAGTATGCAAAGGTATGGGACTATGCTAAGGCATTAGTGGTGCACAACCCTGGGACTGGTTGTGTGGTTGTTGTAGATAGGATAGACCAGCCTGAACCCCCTCTTTTTTTTAGGATGTTTGTGTGTCTTGCACCATTAAGGGATGGTTTTGTTAGTGGATGCAGACCAATTATTGGAGTGGATGGCTGCCATCTTAAGGGTGCTTACCTTGTCCAAATTTTAGTCGCTGTAGCTAAGGATGGTAATAACCACATATTTCCATTAGCATGGGCAATTGTGGAAATTGAGAACAAGGACACATGGTCATGGTTCCTTGAGGCATTGGTAGACAGCATTGGAGGTCAAGATGAAGGTGAAGGGTTGACTTTTATGTCTGGCAGGCAGAAAGTAAGTTTACAAATTTCCATTTTGTAATCTCCATTATGTTTTGTTAGTTTGAGATAGGTGTAGCATACTAATTATTGTGTAACTATTTTTGTGTAAATGCAGGGCTTGCTAGAAGCATTTGAGAATGTTGTACCTAAGGCTGAGACTAGGTATTGTGTTAGACACATCTGGTCTAACTTCAAACAACAATTCCAAGGATATCTATTCAAAGAGCTATTTTGGAATGCAGCTAGGGCTTACACTCAGGTATAATAGTTAAATTCTCCTAGTTTTGTTAATTGTCAGTTTCTGGTTTTGGTTAGTTCCATTTGATTTTTGTTAGTGTGTGTCTTAATTTAGTATTATAATGCATATGGTCAGACTGATTTTGAAGTGGCTATGGAGTCTATAAACTTTTTATCTGAAGAAGCCTATGATTACCTAGCAAATATCCCCCCCCAACATTGGTCCAGACATGCATTCTCCCCAACATGTAAGTCAAACATGTTGTTAAACAATTTGTGAGAGACTTTTAACGTTGTTATAAGGGATGCTAGGGATAAGCCAATCTTAACACAAATGGAATGGCTTAGAAGATATATGATGAAGAGGACCAATAATAAGTGGATGGCAGCCTCTGAATGGGAAGGGTTGTGTGTTCCTTATGTGAAAAGGTGTTTGATGGGTTGGAAAAGTATGCAAGGACATGCACTGTCCAGTCAGGTAGGGGTGAGCTTTATGAAGTGGAGTATAAGGATGATACATGTGTTGTTAACCTTAAAGCAAGGACATGTATTTGTTATAGATGGGATTTGACAGGATTGCCTTGTGTCCATGCTTTTGTTGCTTTGCTGGACAAAAGGGTTGATCCAGAGCTTTATGTCCACCCATACTACCACATAGAGACTTATCTGGCTGCCTATGAGACTCCCATTCAGCCCATGCCTGGAGCCAAGCATTGGGATAAGGTGCATATGAGAGAGCCTATGCCTCCAGCTTTTAAGGTCCAACCTGGAAGACCAAAAGCTAAAAAGAGGAATCTTGAACAAGGGGAGGAGAGTTCTGCACCTAATTCAGAGAACAAGAAAGTGAAGAGAAGGAATCAATGCAAGAATTGTGGGGGTTTTGGCCATTATGCCAAAACTTGTTCTCTAGATCCTGCCCCTACACCAGTTCAAGTTCAAAACACAGCACCATCAGGAGGTAGGCCAGCATTGGACAACCCTTGGATGAAGGAACAGAGGAGGAAGAGTGAATTGAGAGCTATGAAAAAGGTAAATTCACTTACACTATTTTTGATACTTAGATTGTCATGTGTACTGTACCTATTTACTGATTATGAATGTATGTATACAGAGTGCAACATTAGGAGCTACTGCAGGACCCAATAGCATTGGAAACAAGAAGTTTCCTCAAGAATTGGCAAAAGCAAAAGCAACTGAGGCATCTTCTGCTTGTAATGCATCTCAGCCAACTGAGCAAGTGCGGCCTTCTGCAATGGAAGCATCAGTAAGCCAGCCCATGACTAGGAGCAGAACAAAGGTGACTGAAGCTTCCCACACCTCAGCCTCTCAGCCTCTTCCCAGACAGCAGAATTCCAGGCACAAGTTACCAGTATCAAAGGGTATACATCAGCATCAGTTCATGCACAAGGATGATATGTGGGAACTTGACCATGATATGTAATTTAGTACCTTAAATTTGGTTTATTATAGACAGACAAGTGTTTTTTTTTTCAGTTTGCTTAAGTGTTTGAACAACTAAGGGTGGCAAGTCCATCATTTTGTGCACTTAACTATTTGGAATGAACAATATTAACTGGGGCAGGAACCCTGATTTTGGTAGTATGTTGAACTACTTCTAAAATATGATATGATCAGCACCTGTTTATAACATTTGCATATGTAATTGGATTCAATTATTTTCATTTTAGTGCATAACCAAATTTTCATTTCATTTCATAACCAAATTTTCATTTCATTTCATAACCAATACAACAATAACACAACATCCTTATAACAATTTCACAATCAATTGTTCCATTCCTTACTTCCTAATAAGCATACCTAAAACTAAACCAACACAACAAATAACAACAAACATAACAAACAGATTCATAGATGATGTCTTCCTGCCTTCAACCTCATGTGTCATCTTTTTCCTATCAGAGCTAAGGGCCTTGCATTTCAATTTCAAGCTGTCAATCTCATTCAGCAAGCATCTTCTTTGTCCACAAAAATCATCAACTTCTCTCTTTAAGTCAGCAAGCTCACCCTTCATCAACTTCTTATCCAATAGCAAGTTGTTAATTACTTCAGTTTGCCAACTTGTACCATCTGGTTGATCAATCCACTCAAATGATTTACAGCCCCTTGATTCAGTCACTGGATCATAGAATTCGCAAGATCTAAATTTCCTCCCAGGATTTTCCTTAGTCCAAGAAGTTAACCTTGCAAAGGGTACTCCACATTGGCATTTCCTCTCTTTTGAAGGAGAAAAACTTAAGGAAGACATTCCTTCTGCAAAATGACACTTAGCAACTTCAATAGTAGTACATAATCACCTTAATTAGCTTTCCATACACCTAATTTCTATTAACAATCAGTAACTCATAAAACCCCCAATTTCAAATTTAATATGAACCCTAATTTAATAAAAACTGAATGTGGGTTTCAATTGCTAACTTGTTTTACCCAAATTCTGGATTAATAACCTCTACATGAACTAATGAACAAATTAATTGAATCAATCCTTTTATTTAATCAGCTAATTAAACTTGTGCATGACATACCTTAACTACTTCAATTCCCACTGCTAAAGCAAATTCGTATTCAAATCTTTAGATAACTGATGATTTATGACTGATTGCTTGATGTTAATGCAGTACATTGAGAGAATTGGTATAAATCGATTTTTTGGAACATCAAATGATGAACTAGGGGTTTTATAGGATAGAAGATCGTGATTAAAAAGGGTAAAAATAAAAAAGTATCCGTTATAGTGGGCCCCACAACACTTTTCAGTCACCGGAATTGGGTAAAGGTGGTAAAAAAACAACTTTAATTTTTTTTGGTAGTAAAATAAAAGTTTGAAAATAGTAGGTGGTAAAAAACAATTTGTTGAAATTTTTTGGTGGTAAAACTCAAAATTTCCTATTATTTATGGATCCCCATAAACCCTAGAAATAGAACTACTCACTCATAATAAAAACTAAACTAATCAAAGCAATAAAATAAGACATGATCAAAAGAATAAAATAAACAACTAAGATTAATAGAAGAGAAATTGTTACCAAAATAAATCCCGAATTAAGAATCAAATTAAGAACAAAGTATAAGAGAGAGAAACTAATCTAAAAGCTAAGTAGAGAGAGAAAATCTAAGAAAGAATTAAGAAAGAGTAAAATAAGGTAAAGAAAAGGGTACTAAACTCGTTTTACGGAGAAGTATTTGTACTCCGTAAGAATCCTAAACTAAAACAAACTTAAACGACGCTAATCATCTCCTAGCAATAACACGCGCCCGAACGAGCGAGGCACCGTCCGAACAGGCGCGCCTTTTTCCATCAGGTACGTTTCTCGCGCCCGGCCGGGCGCGTCTTCGGGCGCCAGCCTTTGCTTCCCTCGCCCGGCCGGGCGCGCCTGGGCCACTGTTTGGACTACGATTGGGCTCCAATTCTTCGGGCCAATCTGGGTTTCCTCCTCGGGTCTTGAATACTCGGTCCAAAAGCCCCGATATCACATATACCGAGCCCTTAATCACCGGTTCGATGGCTCTAACCGGCCCTGGGCTATAGAAACTGGTCGTGCTTCTGCAATGCTCGTTATTGCTCCATAATATATCGGGAAAATGCTCCAAAAGTGCAAATCCCTGCAAAAGTCAACCAAATCTACGAAAACACTAGAAAACACCAATTAGTAATAAAAGTGGCTCTAAAGAGCCAAAAACACTACTAATTATGACCAAGGGACAGGGGTAAAATACTATATAAAATAGACACATCAAATACGTAGCAAAAGCCCTTTATGATCTGATTAATTGATGCATTGATGATTGATTGTTATGTTTTACCCTGGAATATTGTTTATTGGTGAACCTATGCCCTAGGCTTTTATTTCATTGATTTTCTTCCTACTTTTATTCCTTCCCACTTTTACTCTTAGTAGTTTAGTTCCCTTTTATAATAACAATTTGGTTACTTGATAATTTAGATTATTTTGATTAATTATGAATAAATTAACTCGTTTCCCTGTGGTTCGACCCTTCTTCCCTATCTACATAGTTAGTGGATTTAGGTATTATTTTTGATTGGGTGATTACGGCTTGAGCCTGTCAAATATACAAGCTTTAGTGTATGATTGTGTAAAGATAATATTTGGGAAACGGAAGTGTAAAGATAAACAAATATTCCGTACTTTATAAAACAGGTTTACTTAAACCCTTAAATAATTGGACGATCGTTTTAAGACCGAGCCCATTTATTTATTAAACGGGTCTAACCCTATAATAAATTAATAACTGTGGCGGGTCATAGGGATCCAAGGCGTCCAACCCATAGAATTGATTAGTGAGATATCCATTGAAGCGCAGTTGGCGTGAATCTACTTCTTGTGTCCCCCATTGAAGCAGCTTCTGAGGTAAGTTGTTTGCATTCCCTAAAATTATGAATCAAGTATCCCTAAAATTTGGTTGCTGTGTTGCAGACCCAACCGTATTGGAGTGAAAGGAGGAAGAGGAGAGAGAAAAAATCAGAAAATTGAGAATGTTGAAGTTCCTTTCAAAGGTGAAGCTAGAGTTCAACGCACTAGACTCCCGTGCAGGTGCGTGCATGGAGTTCTTAGCCCAATGTAGCGCCGGAAAAGCCAGAGACTCAAACCCCAGTTGCCAAGTCGAAGTTAAGCGTCGCACCGATGATCACCCTCCTCAAATCAAGGTCACCTTCGTCAATGGTGTCGAGGAAGTTTTCGACGCTTCTAAAACCTCTGCTCAATCCATTCGTACTCTCATTCTCGATAAAGGTCAGTACCTTGAAACTGAGCAGATGTTTCGAGATGGTGGTCAAGGTTGGCCTGTCATTATTCCTGAGGAAGAGCTTCGTGAACCTACTCCTAGTATTAAGGTATGATTTGGGTTCTTGTTGCTTTGTTCCAGGTTTGTAGTTTTTATTTCAAGCATTTTGTTGAACACCTTATGGTCATGTTTTTAATGGGTGCAATTATGTTTATTTGGTATCAGTTGTGTTTACAGTGGATTAATTTGTGTGTTTTAGTATCATTTGGGTGAAATTAGGTGATTTTGCCTCTAAAAAAAAGAAGTTATTTTTGTTCTTTTGATGGATTAGGTAATGTTGTGATAAAGCATTTGAAATTTGGAGTATAAACAAATTTGAAATTTGGGAGCTTGAAAATTTTGTTCACTTGGAAAGCAGCCTTGATTTGATGTGGTGAAGTAGTGCCTTATGCTGGTAGTTCAACTTGATGTAATTGGTCTTCTGCAGGTTTTTACCTCTTGTGTAGTTAGTCATTTCTACATTCATTATAGCTCAACTTGAATTTTAATTGATCCTGCCCTGCCTAGATTATGATCAATGTAAGAGCTTTCTTTTTCTTGTAATGCTTGATAGTAAATTCTCTGTATGGGAGAACATATTGTGTCTCGGCAAACACTCAAATACCATCAAGATGAAGGGTGGGAGGAAGAATAGGATAGCTGTTTTTTCATCGCGTTCATGGTTTAGAAAAGTGTTTTGCCAATTACGAACTGCTGATCTTATGTATTACATGGTTGTATGTTAGTTACCCCATGTGGCTAAGAGCTTTAACTTACCTGAGATAATTGACAATTCAGTAAGTCATGGCTTATATTATTGCTGCTGATGCTGTTGTACATTAGTAGCTAACCCAGTTGTTTACTTTGGTCCTTGAGTGAGCCATTAGAAACTCGGATGGCAAGAACTAATAAAAATGTGAAATTGCTAGAATATCTTGGTGCATTAGTGCAGTGGTTATATTTCTTCCTCCCTGTTTATCCTAATCTGGATTGCTTTGGGCCCTAAACTTTATATAAATACAAATGAAAAGGAATGATAAACAACTTAATATGGGCTAATGGGCTTATTGCACTTGCATTGACGTAGTAACGAGTCGATGACCTGGTGCTTGCTTTAACAATTATTGTTGGCTTGGTAGTTGGTATGAGATCGATATCTCTTTTTGTTTTAACATTTAGCATACTTGGTCTTTGCCTTGCTGCTTTTATTTCAGCTCGAATCATATTAGCAATTTATTCTGCTTCATGTTTGTACGAAAGCAACTTAAATTCTGATAATGCTGGATTCTGCTAATTCAGAGCATTATTGAAAAGTAAATAAAGATTCCATGCTAATTATTGTTTCATTAAAGTCTAATTAAGAGGTTAAGGTGCATTATTGAAAATTGTTTTTCCAGAGAACAATGGTGATGCAGCTTAAGAAGTGACGTATTTTCTGTTTTATGTTATTATTTGTTCTATGACCTTGTACACTTTCTTTCCCTCTTCATCATTTAGGATATAATTCTTGCTTTTCTTTTTTGTTCTTGCAGCCTAGAAAAGCAGAAGACAAAAAGCAATAATAGCTCCTTCTTGAAAAGCTAATTATATCAGTGAGTTTTGAATATCTCTTTCCTCATAATACATTGTTTTCATGGAAAGTCATTCTCTGCCATTCCTAATTGTGTAAATACAGTACATATTTTTACCGAAAACTTTGTTTCTATCTTTTAGTCTAGTCTTCACTTCTTCCATGTTTTTAAATATACTAGGGGTACGGCAGCTAGCCTCAATTGTGTGGGTGTTATGGTTAGTTGTAACACCGTTAAAACTCTTGGTAATTTTCTTTTTGATGCTGAAAATCCTTATGATTTGGGGTTTTATTGGACTAATTCTAAGTGTACATATATGAATATGCACACTAAATATCGAAAAATAATAGTGTGCAGTAGTAGAAGTCTCACATAAGAACATTAATTAGAATGAAACTTGTAGAATATACTTGGTTTCAACTTGTGTCGCACTCATATGTGAGATTGATGGGCTTGATATATGTATAAAATCTACATACATATATACATGTTACACCTACAAAATTGAGCAAAATGCAAAATGATTCAATATCAATAGAGAAAATGGTTGAAATTTCTTCGGTACAACATAACATATGGCTCCCTACCCAATTTATAACAATTAAAGAATAAATTCCTTCAATATTTTATTATTTCCAAACCTCTGTACGCTCAATATTTCTTCAACAAGCTCTTCGTATGGATATATCACCAGGATTTCATCAATGATCTTTGCTGCCTCCGATCATCAAAATACTTTCCGATCACCCTTTTGTATCTAGGCCTCTGTTGCACCAGCTTCTAATACTCCACAACGTTTGGCCTAGTATTGTCCTCATTTTCTAATCCTAGGAGCACCAGACAAGCTAATATCAAGATGAGCATAGCATCTTCCATGGTTAACTCTTCTCCCGCCAAGTAAGAAGTATTATTCATTGTGTTTCTATTTCTTCAAGAAGCCTAATTAAATGTTTTTCACTCCTTATTACCTCTAGATCTTTCAACTTTTCTTTTGTATCATATTCATTTTTTTCGCCTAAGTTGATAGGCACTTGCGAGATCAGACATCCTAGCAAAAAGTTTGTGAGTTCTGAAATATATAGCATGTGTTTCCCAGGGATGTGAGAGAGCGTGAAATATTTGGGGTTCTGCTCCTGGATTTTGTCCATACATTCTAGTTCTTCTGTGCTGCTGCAGAGGTTAATGTCATCCCCACCTGTAGTGATAACTGTTATCTTTTCTATGTACCTGCAAACTAAAGGAAAGGTCCATGGAATCAACTTTTCCATCCTTTCAACTCACAATAAACTCTCCAAAATTTTAAATAAAACATAAAAGTTACAAGTGATTTTATTTTATTTTTATTATTTTTATATATATCTTAAGTAACAAGATTGTGAATTAATCATCGAACAATTACCGTATCAGATTTTATACTTCCTCCGTTTTTTATTTATTGCACCATAATGACTTTTACACTATTCACATAATCTTTTTTGACCATCTTTTGTGATTTATCCGTAAGGAAAAACATAGTCATGTGAGATCTAGATAGATTTGTCTTGAATTCAACTTTTCAAATATCAATTTTATATAATTTTTACCAAAACATAATTTAAGTTATTAATAGCCAAAATAATGCATTGACAAGCGTAAAATCACTCATGATGCAATAAAAAAAGAATGGAGGAAGTATATATTTCAATTCAGTACCATGAAAATTCTTCGATATTGAATGAAACTTTAGACCCACCTTTAAGAACGGTAAAGGAAACGGAAATCCTTTTCCTTTTTCTTTGAACAAAGTATACTTGTAGAATGAATGCTATTATGAAGTATTTAATAGGTTGACATTCACAACAACTACAACAACTACAACAACAAAGCCTAATTTTTATAAACAATGTCAATAATAATGTCAAGAAAATAATGTTTATTAAAAGATTTTTTGTATGTTGCACCAAAAAATATCCCGTTTTGAACTAGCTAGCCATTTTAATTTTTTAATAAAATACCTCCCAAAAAGACAACAAATTAGATTTAACCACCACTTATCACTTTCTGTCAACAAAACCATTAAATCTAACATTTTAAAAAGTTTCTTCAATTTCCGTGCCAAAAACGTTAGATTTAATCCCCCTATTCACTCCTTTATACCCTGGATTTACCCCTATATCACATAATAAACAGTTAGGATTTACATTATTTTAATGTTATTTTTTTTTATTTTTGTAAATTGGAGTAAAGTAGTTGCAAATTGAGGTATTTGGGATATTTTAGTGATTTTAGGTTCATTTAATGGAGATAATTGGAGATATGGGCTCCATGGATAAAAGTTGTGGCTGAAATGAGAAATTATTAATAAGTAGTGCCATACAAAGTTTTTGATAAAAAATTAATTCAGTACTGTTTTATTTGCCTAAAAGTGGGTAAGATGTAGGTATTGGAGTTTGGTTTTCCAACTTCTTTATTATGTGGTATACAGTTTGTGAGTGATATTAACGTGTCTAGAATGAGGCCTTTGGCTGTGCTTACATAGTTACCTCCTTAGGTATGTGAAGTTTTCTCTTCTTTTTTTTTTCTTCCCTTTCCCACTCTCCTAACCTCCCCCCAATGTCCTTCCTTCTACCTCTTTATGGTATGTTTGGATAGCAAAGTGGAAGGGAGGTAAGAAGAAGGAAGGGGGAGGAAAAGAAGAGGAGGGAGAAGGTAAGGTCACCTAGGAAGGATTTTGTTTATTAAAGAAGAGGAAGGGAAAACCAAAAAATTGGTTTCACCACCTCTTAACTTTGCCATCCAAAAAAACCGTTAGAGTGGGCCCTACCCAGTACACGTGTTAATCAACTATTGGATTAAAAAAAAAATTAAAAAAAAAAAAAAGAAAAATCCTAAACTCCTAACCCACCACCACCCCACCACCGGCGCCGGTCCCTACCACCGTCAGCCGTCACCCAAACCCAGCCACCATCGTTGTCTCCCTGACTTTGACACCGTTGCCGAACCACCCAGACTCGACCCAAATCAGCCCAGCCTCCATCTTAGCGTCTCCCCGCCCACGAACCACGACCCAAACCCCGACGCAGCCTGGCTACCAGCAGCATATCAACCCACCACCATCGCCGAACCGCAAACCCACAAATCGCCCTACTCCTCTCACCCTCACCTGAAACTCATACCCTGAAACCAAATCAAGCTGGTTTCATGGGTACGGTTGGCTGGTTTCAACGGATGAGGGTGGTCGGTTGGCTGGTTTCGTGGGTCGAGGGTGGTTGGCTGGGATTGGGTGACGGCGGTGGGATTGGGTTGGGGTAACGGCGGTGGGGGCTGGGTTGGGGTGACGGCGGTGGCTGGGTTAAGATTTAGAGATTATTTTTTAAAAAAAAAAAAATTCCTTTTATTTGTTTTTAATTCTTTATTCCAATAAATTTATGACACGTGTACAGTGTAGGATCCATTAACGATTTTTTGGATGGAAAAGTTAAGTGGTGGTGAAATCAAATTTTTGGGTTTTTTGGTGGTATTATGATAAAAGTTTTAAAATTTGTGTTGTTAAAATCAAATTTTTGTGATTTTTATAGTGTTATTTTCTAATTTTTCCTTAATTTGTGAATTATAGTCATGTCTCATGTGTGATCTTGTTTTGTGTCAATGTATAGTTTTATAATAGGAAATTTTGCAAAGAACTACCATTTAAATGACGAGTTTTGAGAACAACTACCATTTAAAACTTTTTTTTTTGAAAAAACTACCACAAAAACATAAAAAGTTTAAGTAGCACTACCTTATCAAGTTTTCTGGCTAGAATCTCCGGCTGTGCCAATTAGTATTTTCCTCCTAAAATTATTTCTCTTTCCTCTATTTAAAACTGCTAATCTTCGTTTCCCCCTTTTTGCTTATGTTAAAAAAATTAAAAGCCTAATCTCTTCATGGTTAAAGTCAATTAATTGTTGTAAGCCTGTAATACATATCAAATAATGAGTAATGAACCCTAGATTGGATAATACAAAACAATTTCCTCAAATCCCCTTAATTCAGAAACCCCCAATTTCAATTCTTTTTACCATTAACCCTAATTTGAAAATTCAATTCAGAAATTATGTCAATTATAAGGCAAATTTGATATACAATATCTTCTATTCAGTTCGCCAAACAATTTTGCTTCTTCTCTCGCCCTGAATCGATTGAAATGAAGAGATTAGGGCCCCACTTTCGGAGATTCTAGCCGGAAAACTTGATAAGGTAGTGCTACTCAAACTTTTTATGTTTTTGCGGTAGTTTTTTTCAAAAAAATGTTTTAAATGGTAGTTGTTTTCAAAACTCATCATTTATATGGTAGTTTTTCGCAAAATTTCCTTTATAATATCAATTTATCAAAGGATATAGCACCCTGAAAATGAGAGGTAGACACAATGACATGTCTAAATCAGTGAGGCATGGAGGGAGGGACCTCTGATTTTGAACGTTTTGAGGCAAATCTTATCAAAAGATTAATGGGTACCTTAAATGGTTGCCAAATAATCTGTGGGACCCTTACCAAACCAAGCATATTGGCATAGAAAATGTGAGATAGATGAACATGTCTACTGATTTCATAGGGATCTAGAGATTGTTTGCAATACATTCTTCACTATGAATTGAGTGCCTTCCCATTGATATCACCAATGTAATAAAGTTGTGGATTCCCTTGTTTAATACTTCATAATGGAAAAACAATAAGTAATAGAACCATTCCAAATAAATGAAATTCCTGATGCTATGGTTCAAGTTCAAATGGAATTGGTTAATTTTAAAGAAACCCGGGTAGATTTTTTTCCAGTGAAGGCACTCTATCACAAGCCTTAGCCAAATTGATTTTCAAAGCCATGATAAATTTTGAAGCAGGAGGAGCTTGATTGAAGAAATGAGTCGTCTAACAATGTCTTCCGAAACAAAAACTGATTGGGACTAAACATATAATCTTAGAAAGGCTTTAGCCTATTCTCTATGATTTTTGTGATAAGGTTGTAAATAGTAATTATATAAACTAATAGGCCTAAAATCTTTGTAAGACTAGAATATAGGAATTAGAGTAAGTGTTATTGATCTGCTATTGAATAGCTGCATTCTCTATGCACTCATACATGTAATTAGTGAGTGTTTTACAAACATCACAGAAATGTTGGGAAAAGTCATTTGAATGCCGTAAGGACAAAAGACCTGCTGACCAGGAGATTTCTTAGGAGCCATAAAAAAAGTTTACAAACTACTTCCATGTAATTGGGATATCCAATGATTTGAGGCTGGCAAATTTGATTTTAAGTGAACATCTGATGGGAATAAGTTCTGGCCATTAATTGAAAAAAAGACTCCTGAATCCAAATTCCATCTTTGTCTTTGTAACATCACACTTTTGTTCCATATAATCTTAGCTATCCATATGAGAATGTTTTTGTATTCGTATCTCAGAAATCTAGCCTTGACTTCCCAGATTTCTGAGCCTACACTTTTATTCTTAAAGCAAAATATTTTCATACTCAAAGATAAGTTCTTTTTTAGACTAATTTAAGAGGGAAGATATAGAACTGAACACGCATACTTGCAAGCCTAGCAAGAATTAATCTTTCGTAAGCATGAATTTGTCTGAATTTATATTGCTCCACTGCTTCAAAGAAATAATATGCTATGATTTAACATATCTAAAGCATCATTAGTGGCGGAAAATAGGAAGAGGAAATTACAGTATATGTGAATGATAAACACTTTTGAGAGGTATTTTCTCCAATCTAGGTTACTAAGCTAACCCAAAATACTCAATCAATAATCTCCATACCAATCCCTTCCTAATCTTCTTTTATTTATAGTACTACTCCTCTAACTCTTTTGTATTCCTCCTCAAGACACTACTAACAGAATCATATTGCACTACCCAATATGTCTCTTCCCCTTGCATCAATTCATTGCATAGTATCTCGTCCTTTTAGGAAATAAATGTTACCCTCCCCCCTCTTCTAGGACATCATCCAACTATAGCTCATCAGAGTGCGGTCCGCCGGTCCGGGCTTTTTTTTTTTTAAATTTTTGTATAGAGCCTTAATCTAAATATTTAATTGAACTAAGCCTATCTTAGACATTGAAGAACCCAGGGCCTTTATCTAATTATCCAATCCCTGGCATTAAAGCTTTACACTGATTCTATCTAGAGACTCTCACCCTCCTTTTTCGACTGCTTGCTAATCTCATAGAAGTCTCCAACAAACATCCAAGGTATATCAGGAGGAGAATTATTCTTAAACTTGCCTTGCCTCAGAAGAACTAAGATCATGCATGTCCTTCATAGCCGCCAACAAAGTTTCTATGTGTTCGGGAGTAGGATGAAAAAAATGAAGAACATAATGCAGATTAACATTGTTCTTCCTGAACAACCAAATAGTATTTCAACATCCAAACATTGATAAAACCTTGAACTCATCAAAACCTAGCCCTGACAAAGCCTTCCCTTGCTTGAATCTCAAAGAATTTTATTTCTAGTATGACAATATAACAGACATTTGAGTCTTAACAAAGTTCCATTCATGAAGCACCCCTAGTATTCCACACTTGGACTCTCATCATTAAATTTTTGTTTGAAGGGGTTGTAACTTGTAAGGCCTCGTCATAACCTGACAGTTGCTTCTCATAGTATAGAAATTTAAATCCAAATCTATTTACTCCACCAAATCAGTTGTTTGAAGCTCGAAGGGGTCTACGTCATGTGAAGATTCTTCATCTTCATTCCTTGAAATTTGAAGTTTGACTTGATCAGGATTCCCACTCCCCTTCCTATATCATGAAAGTTTTTGAGGTTTGAAAGTTGTCCATTTTTGCTGTAATTGTATAGAAATTGGAAAAGATAGATTGATGGATATTGGGAAAATGGTTATTAATGAATGTATAATTGGACCAATTTAATCTAATCTTGGACCTTCATCAATCGACTCAGAACGTTGTGAGCCAACTCTATTATACTGCCCTCCCGAGTCCCAAGGGCTAAATGTTATGGACCACAAGGGAGAAGTAGGAAAAATAATTCTGGTGCTTCAAGTAGGTTCAAAAATCAAAAGCCTTTGCTGGGTTTTGAGAAAATTCTGATGAACTTCCCTCTTTAAACTTTTTGAATGTTATTTTAACGACACACATCTATTTGTCTTCAAGACATTCTCAATCAAGAAATATAAGTCTGAAATGTTAATACTCGAGCACTTTTTGCGAACATGAGTATAAAAATGGTTGGGTTCCATGGCTTTGGAAATTCCAAGAATGTCTGCTAACTTTATACTACTGGTTAGGTTGTACAAGAGGTAAATGGTTTATAGATTATGGATGGCTAAATAGCTTGTTGCAAACTTCTATCATTCTTTTCTTCTTACCATCTCTAAACTGTACTGCCTCTTACATCATTGTTATTTTATATATCTATTTATTTTTTTATTTTCAGCAGAGAAAAAGCCCGATGAGAGCAGGCAATCACATTGTGTAGCGCCTTAGCACAGAGGACGTCTGCTTTTAAAGACGGTCAAGTTTTTGAGAAGTGTTTGTATGTTCGGAAATGTACCCTCTGGTGCCTGACTGATAGTGATTTGGCGCAACAATTTCATGTCAATCACTTTACCTCAATATTGCCGTGTCAATGGTTGTATGATCTTATTTCACCTTTTCTCCTTTTACTACTCACAATTTTGATCTCTTATTGCTCTTGAGCAGAATATCCTACACCTGGTGTTGCCTTGATGATTTATAATGTGAAACTTAGTAGCTTTTAGTTTTGGGATTTGCTCTTAGTTGTGAAGATAGATAATTAATAAATAGTCGATAATTACTATTTTTGGATCAAGGTCAAGGAATCGTCAGACTGAAATAAAAAATGACCCAACCTAAGCATTAAAACGCTCAACACAACAAACTCATCCAATTATTTCGTATGTGTTCCACTACATTGTCATATCTTATGCGTTTAATGATGTAAGAGCTTATTTTATTCACCATTTCCTAAGGCTATAGCTTTTGTTAAACATAACAGACTCGATTTCCATTTCCTTCCATTCCTCAGTACCTTCCTCTCTCAAAAGAAAAGAAACAAAAAGTTGTTCTTGAATCTGACATACTGTATTTGGGGCTATTTACCTTCAGCAGTAGTAATGATTAATGAACGGTGCAAGGAGTAGAGAACTGAGGAAGTAATGCGGCGCAAAATCTTCTAATTAAAAAAAAAAAAAATTGTATTTGAGTCATCAAAATGGCTGTTTTAGAGAAGTGTTGTACTAAAAAAGAACCGGAGGGAGTAATTATAAACATAAGATGGGATGGTTAACTTGATATGAAGAAAGATTGTGATTGAATTGAGTTGAGGCTCTTCTGGCCAATGCGTGATCCTGGAGCTTCTGGCTTTCAATCAGACTTGGTACAACAACAATATGAAGTTTTGATATATATATATATATATATATATATATATATAAACTTGTGCAGTTACAGTTGAAAAAAAAAAAATATGACAAGAGGCAAAAGCTTGTTTATATTACTTAAGATACATCCCACCGTAAATACAAACATACAGGTCATCTGCTATTTCAAAATGTGAAATTACCGATCCTCACGTCGAACTGTATTCGGATTAGACATCATGTCCATCATCATCTTCTCCGGAGAATCTTCCCAGTTAGTAAATGTTTTTAGGTCAATCTGAAACCAATTCAAACCAAAAAACAAGTTAATTTTTTTTTTCCCTGCATCTGTATCATTGTTAGCAAAACCATCAAATGACTGTGCAAAGTGTAAATTTACCGTGCGCCTTTGCTCTGTGAAAAGCTCCTCTCTCTTCTGGTACGACATTTGTATTTCCCTTGCAGTCTTACCACCCAATCCCCACACTTCCACATCAAGGACTGATGCTTCAACAGGAAGGTAACCCTACAAAAGATAATCAAAGACCTCAACAATCACATATATATCAGAAAGGGCTGTTCATGGTAATTGCACTAGACAAGATGGATGATCTGAGCTGGAAATCCAACATAGCTACGGGCCTACGGCATAGAGAATGTTTTGTGCCCTGCCCATGATATCTTATCCTAAAATTCCAGAAGATGGTTTGTCTGAAATCTAATCATGTACCCAAAATGGACACTTTTTTTTGGGTAGAATAAACAAAAACCAAGTTGGAAACTTGTAGCTTTACACATGCAAATGAACTCCACCAACATTGTAATATAAGGATGTACATTGGTACCACAGATTTATGGAGGCTTACTACCAGGATTCAACTCCTCACCTGATTAGGAAATAGAGAGCCATGCTGGTATGTTTTGTCGACAGCATGATGACGTACAGTAACCTTTGCAAAGTCATCATCAAGGAATATTCTTTCATGCCCGCTAGTTCCTCCAAATGCAATCCCAACAGGCTTTGGGTGTGGATCATATGCTCTAACAGTTGAATGCAAATGACTATAAAGGTAGTTCTTCTCCGTTCCTGCCCATGGAAAGGGCTCTCAAATTTAAGTACAATTAGTAAATATCATACAGTCACTTAAAAATTTCCCAAACTATCCCGTTCACATACCAGATGCAGAGAATACATGAAAGACTGGGAATATAGAATATAGACAACCCCCATTCCCATAGAATCCATCTCTGTTTTCGAACCCTTGTTGTGCGAGTGCCCCGATGATCCATTTCTGGCTGATCTCACTGGATTCACCTGAAAAGGCAGAGATCAACAATAGTAATGGTCCATGATAACCATCAACATTCGACCATAATCTGTTTAGCCCTTTCCCGTGATGATAAGACCTGTAAAGCAATGACAGTAATCAATCTCCAGCTCATAAATAGTGTGTCCAGCCAACATGAGACTGAAGGCTATCCAATCCACATATATATATATATATATATATTATAAGTAGATTTGAACTTCAAGCTTTATTTTGCAGCAGGTGATCAATAAAATTGACATAAAATTTTAAAACTCAGGGTTTGCTCCTATTTCAGGTGGACCTAACTACTTAAACAACCCCCAAATGGCAGTTACACTTTGCATCAATAACAGTTGCTGCTACATGTTTATTTATTTTACATATAAATTTTTTTTTCCCCCTCAGAAGCATAAAACTTGATATTAGTGACCAGTCACTCTATACAATAATAAAGTAATACAACAATCATTTATCAAGGAAAATATTTCATAATTTAATGGTGCATATTTAACACAGAACATAAATGAAAGATGCAGAATTTGACAAATTATCATCAGATGACCTCATATAGTCCAATAAAGAAGTTGTTAGTAAATATTACTCCTTCAGTTTCAGAATAATTACACAGTTGGGCACAAGTTTAAGAAAAAATTGAGTGGAGACCATTAAGTAAGTTGTTTAGTGTAAAGTTAGTGGAATCATTTTAAATTGTAATAAAAGGGGGCATGTGAGAGTGGAAAAAGTAAGCGAGCCATGATATATGAGAAACAACATTTTAATGATGGTGAGTCAAATCTAATATAAGGAACTGTGTCAATTATTTTGAAACAGCCAAAAGAGGGAAGTGTGTCAAAGGGAGGCGCACTGGATTAATAAACTGAATCTATGCTACAGTACACTTCATAGAATACCACTATTACGCCAAAGCACGCTACATAGATGTACTAAAACAGAGATATGTTCATCCAAAATTTACAACAAATAGCAAAACAATATACAAGTAAAAGAAATTTTATTTATTCTCAGCTGGGATTTAAAGTAAACCTTTTCAAAGCCACTTATGCTTATATTGGTAGAATGAGTTGATTTTTTTGTAACCACATCAACATTGAGACAACCAAATCAAGTACAAGATTGTTCATTTCATGGATAAAGCATAGCAAGGCAAATGTGCCCACCCACGTAGAGTAGTTTAAATCGGGGTATGGGGAGACGTATGTTGATATTAAAAAAACTGCATGTAGTTCAACTAGGAATTTTCAGGAATTCCTTCGAACATCAAACAAATAAAAGGCAAACAGAAACGTGCAATCCAGAATCATAGATATTGAAGACGAACCGATAAAGAAGGCTATCCGGTATCACATCATTGTTGCTAGGGAAGCATATCCTCAAAAGCTCCTCACTTATGTTACTTCTTTGGGAAAGAGTCATTGCCCATGCCCTACCACATGTTAGAATATGAACTTCGTTTGACTCTGCAGAAGTGGATTCAGCAGCAATTGTCCCTGAATTTTCTGTTCCAGTAGGCTGCCGATAACAAGACAAGAATAGATCAAACATTATTGTTCTTTCAAACTTAACACTTTGTTTGGATAGCAAATAAGGAAGGAAAGGGAGGGGAGGGAAAGAAGGTGAAGGGAATGGAAAAGAAAGGGAGGGGAAGGTGAGCTCCATTTTCCTTCCAAATATCTCCAATTTTGGAGGGATTATGCTTATTAAAGAGAGGGGAAAAATGAATCCCTCCCTCTCCTTTCTCTTCCTTCCCCCAATCTTTTACCCAAACAAGAGAGTTTGTCCACCTCCTTTTTTCTACCCTTCTTTTCCTTCCATCTCCTTCTATCCAAACAAAGTGTAAATAAATAATGAATTTTTATAGTCCACAAGCAATTAGATTAAAATCAGGAGGAAAATGGGAAAAGACAGTCAAGGGACACCAAATACTCGAGTCAACAAACCACTCGCATTCTAGGCAAGCTGTCTACTCAGCTAATCACAACATCCATTGTTTCAGATAATACTACCTCCATTACTTTAGAAGAGAAAGTGTGTACAACTAAGTTATAAATGTAGATTTGTCCTCATTTATACAGTAAGGGTAGTGAAGTAACTCCAAAAAAATGAAAAAAAAATTCCATTGGGAAAATGATGCAAGTGTGGTGAAATATCCCAAAAGAGAATATGTTGCATGTATTGAGAAACAGAGTGTGATTGAGGATACTCTTGAGCATTTTTTTTTTTTCACTATTATGATGAAGTTCATCAACATAATCTTGTGCTGCTAATCCTGATAATCAAGCTAGTTTTTAAAATGCTAGGATCTTGATATACTAAAAACAAAATTTTCATTCGCTCTCCACACAACAGCGAATCACGATTTGAAACTTAGGAACAACCACATGGTCTGCAGGTGGACTAGCTTAACACTACTAAGTAGCAACTTAAGTTCCCACTCCGTGTTGCAGCTTGCAGGTAACATAAAAAGAGAGCATAAATAATGTGAGACATGAGATGGTCCTTCAGTGGATAAACATTAAGGGGAACAAAAGTTATCCAGGCATCATCACCAATATATGATACTATAACATGTCATTATCCAAACATCTCTAACAAAGCTCTAGAATAGGAAAAGATGAGGACTAAAAGATAGCAACTTGGTTAGTGATATTACAAAAAGACATATAATAAGATAGATTTGTATAGAATTCTCCATGGGTTCCTTAATTTGTTTCAGCCTCTCAGAAAGAAATGTCCCTTATTCACAGTAAATAGAGCATCAATAGTTTTCAAGGAAGAACCAAGGAAACCCAATATACAAAACTGGGAAATTGCTGGGATCAACTAGCTGAAATTCAAAGTAGCAAAAGATCAAGTGTTGATCCCCAGAAATATTATCCTGGTTAATTGGCAGCACATAGTTGGTAATGGTGAGGTATACTCGAACATATACAAAGCCTAGTCTCCATTTTTCCTTTTTGATAAATGAATGTTTCAAATAAATTTGAAAGTTCTTTAATCATATCTTATTGACTGCTCAAGGCAGATTATTGAGCCATATGCTGCAAGGGAAACATGAGCCTACGAATTTGGTGTGCCATGCCGCTATCCAAATGCCAAGGAATGCATTAGTACTAAACATTTCAAGGCCATGAAAGCTGTGATCTCCTTTCAATGACTTCATAGTCAATACTTTGAGAGCTGGCTGGCATAAATATATAAATAACTAAAAACAAAACAAATTATACTGAGGAAATCAAAAGCTGTGATCTCCTTTCAATGACTTCATAGTCAATACTTTGAGAGCTGGCTGGCATAAATATATAAATAACTAAAAGCAAAACAAATTATACTGAGGAAATCATAGAAAATATTGTGTCTTACATCAGTTGCTTGGAAAGTCCTCCAAGATAACATATCTTCTCTAGCATATAGTTTTTATATTCTCAAGGGGTATTGCACACTCAATATTAATATTATTATTACAATTTTGCACGGGGTGTGCTTAATGATCTTACAGCAGATAAGTTGTGACCAATATTGTCATAATGATCCAATTCTTATAGGTAGAAGACCTACTTAGGGGCCAGTAAGAGAGATTGTTATAATTAATGCAGGAATTCAGCCAGTAAAAGAACAGTTAATTATTCAGTACAACTGAATTACATTCTTTTGACAATGAACATTTATATACTTAGTCATAATAGGGCCAATTTGCATCGCTAAACTGATAAAATGAAGCTATCATTCGGCTAACCTAACCTCCTTTGTTCCTTGGGACCGGCAAGAGGCTTCCTGTTTTCCATTGACTATGCTTTTCAGCCTTTCAATTGGAATTTCTTTAATCTAATCCAAATCCTGAAATCTACCAGAAAATATGATAAAAACCAGTTTGAAACCCCTCAAACCTTTTCATTATTTTCCACTGCTTCCTATACAATTTTTATTCTTTACACACTTCATTCTATTAGATAATCATAATGCCTATAAATAAAGAGTCACAGGATGCTCATATTTGCTACAATAAGTAAAATAGCTTATATAAAGACCCACAATTGAGTCAATTTAAAACTAAAGAGAATATTGTAAGGGGAAACATAAAAACTATTTCCCTACAAAAATGACAATTACTTTAAATTGTAAATGACCAAAATGGAGATAATGCCTGACCAAAATCCAACTTGATCAACCTATCATATCTCATAGACACTTTATTTGCACTTCATGAGGTACAGTAGCACACTTGTAAGTATTGAACTCAATGAAATCTATATGTTTCATTCAATTGAATTTGATGAATTTAAAAAATCTATATGTTTCATTCAATTGAATTTGACGAATCTAAAAAAAAAAAAATAATAATAAAATAAAGTTCAATGAAAACCATATTTAATTGAGATTCATGAAGCCAATTCCAGCTAAAACATACAGTTTGTCAAACAAGCTAAGGCAGGAATACCGCAGGATATCAATTGGAAAGATAATAAGTTTTAACTATAAATACCTCAGTAAATACAGCTTTAAGTCTGGAACTAATGAAATTTGAAAAGCATTCTGCGAGGTTGGGCAGTGTCCTTATGGCCCACATATGTATCTTTCCAGCAGTCAGCTCAGCTTCGAGACTTAATACATCAGTATTCCATACATCAACATCACTACCATTGTCCATACAAGAAACAACGGCTGAAAACACCAAATGATTAAGATCAGGTATGCTCACATGCTCACTTTCCGTGGCACTCTTAGAACTCCTTGAATTCCAGGACATAATCCAACATACCCAAATTATCATCCCCAACTCTCTAGGTGAGATTGACCCACTTATCTTTCCATCAAGTTCCTCAGAATCAAAATGTATACCCATTGGGCTCCCAGCTCTATCAGCAGATAATGCAAACACCCGTAACATAATGTTCAACAACGATGAAGCTGATATCCTCCCACAGCATTTCACATAACCTCTTAAAAATTCCACCCAAGTTAACCCTCCTTTCTGAGGTACAAATAGTGTATCGGTTATAGAGGCAGCCATCTGATCCAAAAACCCCTGGAAGCAATCCGGCACATTGGCTTTTTCGCAGCTTATGCTGGTATACTTTAGAGAAAAACATTGCTGTAAAACCATAGAAGCAAAAAAATAGTTAACCATCTACTCACTAATAAAACCAAATGGGAGAATGAGAACAAAATTAGATATTACGCGATATTAACTACAACATTGAGAGACCTACATATGGCTAATTCTATCTATGTACATTCCAATACAAATGATATCGATTTTTATTACGACAAATAAAAACCAATATCTCATAAAATCACGGTTACTGAGTACACCATCAAAACAAACCAAGCTTCCTATTTTGTTCATCACTTGCTTGCAACTCTTCACCGGTATCACAAATTATCGGCAGAAAACAAACTATAACCATAAAAATGGCATTAACATAGAATTAAAACCAAAAATTAATCACAATTCTAAGCACTAAAACGAGTGATAATAATAAATTATGCACAAGTTAGAGTAATCGCATAACTAATTAGCCACTACGATCATTTGATTGCATTATTACTTTCCAAAAATTGATCAAGAACAAAAACGAATTTCAACCAAAAAAAAAAACAATTCAACCACAATAATCAAAGAAATTGATGAAATAATGATTCAAATTAGGGCAATTGAAACCTGAAGAGAAGAGAGAGGAATAGAGTGAGAAGAAGGATCGGCAAGTTTAGAGAAAGAAGTCTGAAGCAAAGGAAGAGAACCAGAAGAAGCAGCTTGGCCTTCCAATTCTCTCTCCTCTTTGGAATTGGGTGTTTCCGTTGACGATGATTGTCCCATTTTTCTTTATCTTTCTCCAAATCTATCTATCTGAAATTCTCTTCCTCTTTGATCTTTTGTTAGTTTTGTTTTGTCCTGATTTAATAATAAGTTAAGTAGTATTCTGGACTCTGTCATGGCGCCACATTTGGTTGTTTGCGATGTCACTGTCACCCTGAATTTTACATGATTATGCTCTTACCAGTCTTACCCGCTCTGCGCATATCATTTGCCGACATGATTGGTATCGGATTACAAGTGTAAAAGAATGATCTGATCTGATCTATTTCGAAATTGACTTGAATTAAACCCAATTTAAATTTAGACTTGTATGAATAAAATAATTTGCAATACATAAGACTTGACCCAATCCGACCTCACCAAACCCGACCTGATTACCCTAAATTGGCAACGATGAATCGGATAGAGCTACTCAATGACAAGTGTGACGAGCTATTTAACACGAGACCTTGATTGTTGGAATATCATTAAATTTTAACCCTAATCGATTAGGCAACACCAATTGGGAATGAAAACCGACTTGATCTTATTTACTACCTCCGTTAATAGAAATTTACAACATTTGCCATAAACAAGGCTACCTATTATGTGCAACAAATGATTTTTTTTCCTCTTTTAGTAAGTTTTTTTGTAAGAAATGACTAAACTGCCCTCACTTAACCAACTTACTCCCTTAATTATTTCACTAACCATACTCTATTATAACCAACTTAACTCATCTAATCGTACAAAAAAAAAATCAAATATCTCAACATTCATCTTCGTCATCAAATTTCTCTCTTCTCCTTCATCATCAAAATCTCACTCCTCCTCACTCATCTTTCATCTTCAAGAATCAAGATTTCATTCCTCCTTTATCTTCCCCGGTCCAGATTTGAAGGTGGTCGCATGTGGGTTTTGTAGGTGTGGTTGTTCTAGGTGGCACGAATTTCGTGGATGATGGTCTAAGTTTTGTGGGTAAATCTAGATGTCGTGGTCTGGTCTAGGTTTTTGTTGTGGTTGATTTTCTAGGGTGGTAGGTGGCGTGGTGTTGGGTTTCGTAGGGCAGTGGGCCGAGCGGCGCGGTGTTGGGTTTCGTCGTGGTGGTGGTTCAATTAATGGGTTCTTGGTTTCGATGGGTTTTGGATTTTGTGGTGGTGTTGGATTAATTGGTGGGTTCTAGGTTTCGTGGTGGTGTTGGATTAATTGGTGGGTTCTAGGTTTCGTGGTGGTGGTGGTTTAATTTGTGGGTTTTGGGTTTTGTGGTGGTGGTTTTCGGTGGGTTATGGGTTTCGGTGGTGGGGTGGTTTTCGGTGGGTTTTGGATTGCGGCGGCGGCGGCGGTGGTTTTTGGTGGGCTCTGGGTTTCTGTGGTGGTGGTGGTGGTGATTCTCGGTTTTGGGTTTGGTGGTTTGTTTCGGTTAATTGTGGATTTTTTTTTTAAAAAAAAAAAAATAGATTAATACTTAAGTAATGCCCTTATATTTCAATAATCATGTTTAAAAACTTTTTCCTTGGAGTCCGTGCTACCCCCTTTATTGCAAATAACTGTTAACGGAGATAGTATTTTATTTAACCTAAAGTCGAACTGAATTGAATTTAACTGGACTGAATATAACTCGTACTCAATAATAAATCGACCAATTTCAAACATTAGTACAGTGATCTAAATTGTTTACGTGTAATCACACATGACTTATTTTACCTAAATTACTTACAACTTGAAAAATTGAAATTGTTCCAAGAAAACCTAAATAAAACTAGCATGTTTCAACGAACTCGTGACTATTTTAATTAAACACGTTTACAAACCAAAACATTTTGACATGAGAAACCCTAGATAGACTCATTTCTAAGGATATTGAATACTTTTTTTCCTAGTATTATTCCAACAAATAAAAAAGTAGAATTGTTGAAGTAAATCTTCTTTAATATTGTACTCAAGCCTTGAATATTTTTTTCAAGTTTGTTCAATTGCTTAATGAACAAGCTTTAAACAAGTTTATTCACAATTTTGTGGTAATAATTATACTAGGGGGAATATACTAAATTATCAACTGAAAGAAAAATGCTTTATTCTCTCTCCTCCTTTCACACAAAAAAACCCTTCTGAAACCTAGACCTCACTGAACTAAGCTCCACAAAGAGCTTCTAACTTTGTTTAGTGTTTTCATCTTCTCACCGGAAAGGTTAGTTTGGTTTTGTCGGTTCCCTATGAGATAAGGAGATGAGGAGGCTTGTTTCTCGCCGCTTAGAAGAAGGATCTAGGTATAGATCTGTTTGTTCAAGGGACGAAATTGACGTTTTTAGGGGTCTTTGGCCAACTGTAATGCCGCCGTAAGGGATTAGGAAATTGCGATGGTAATTGGTGAAGTTAGGGCTAGGGTTTCGTAGATTTCTTGCGATCGGTTTCAAAATTCCTTTGTTCTGGTTTCTTCTTTGGTTTTGGCTAGCTTCGATTGCTCTATATTTTGGGCTTTATAAGTCTTCGTTCTCCATAGTTCTTAATTTGAAGCTAGTATGTTAGTTTTGAGTTTAAGTTCCTCCTGCATGTTTGGATGTCTCCCCTTTTGGTTTGTTGGATTGCTTTTTTCCTTGTATTCTGTCCCTGTTTGGTTTGTGGTTACATGGCCATGGTGGGCTTGTCCAATCTTGATGTGATAAGGGGAAGTAATTTTGGGTTAGACTCTAGGTTTTGGGTGGTGGGAGGGAAAAGTGTCTTTCCCTTCGCCTTTGTTTCATGTCTGGTATTTAGAGATGTTGGTCTCCTTGTTGTAGTCAGTTTTGGCTTATGCTGCCTGGGTTGTGGGTTTTCCTTGAAGAACAAGTTGGGTGAAAGTCATGTGTTAATGACTCTTCATATGTTAGGTTTGCGAGTGTTCGTCTAGAAGGTTTTGTGTTTTGTTTCGTTGTCAATTGGCTCTAACTTTTATAATTGGAGTTCTTTTAGTGTTTTCAGGTCTGTGGTGGGTTTTGAACTCATTACCTTCAAAATTTTAAATCTTTGCACTGGTCCCATATTACTTGGGGTTCATAGTAGCTACCAATCATGAATTTCTTTCTCGTAAAAGGAAAATAATCAATTTTCTTGTTACCGTGATATTACCTTCCTTTCGTTTCTGGCTTTGGTTTTGTTTTTCAAGCTCCACAGTTATGAAGAGTTTCTACATTGGTCAATTACTCAAGCTTCCCCCTTGGTGGAAAAAGGACACTGGGAATAACATGTAATGTAGGCTTCGGCTCGCTAGAATCGCGACGGTGCTACCTATAAAGTTGTTCCAATACTCATTGGATGACAAAGAAAGATGTTTCTTTTAAGTTATTTTGTTTTCTTTAGTTCATAATAGCAAGTGTTGCTCATAGCTTTGTTATTGTAAGGTCTTAATAGGCCTAATTTTTGTTGTTGTTGCTTAAACTCTTTCAATATATGCAACTTAATCTTTTGTCAAAAAAATAAATAATAAATAAATAAATAAATTATACGACTAGGGGGGATGATGTGTAATATTACTGTCATTATGAGGCATATGATTCATCCATGTCTCCATTTTCCTTAAGTTTGTCTCATCAATAACTATATATTAAAAGACACACCAGTAATAATACGTGTCATCTTCTGGTGCATCCTTATTTTATTTTTTTTTGAAATTTTTTTAATTATAGTTATACAAAAATAATTTCTTATATAAGTTAAAAAAGGTAATTACTTTAAATAAAAAAAAATTTGATATATCTTTCCACAAAAACATTTATGACTATAGTAGAAAATATTAACATAATTGCGTAATATTTTAATCTATTTTAATGAAGTATTCATATTTTTTCCCTAATAAAAATAGTTGTTCATTTATTGATTAGAATTCACATCAAAGTAGTGTGTATATTTATTAATTTTTTAAATTTTTTTTGTAAAATAACCAATTATATTTAAAAGTTAATACGATGTATTATTATTTTTTAAATTATCGTGCGTGGCACGGGACCTAAACTAGTATAACACTATCTCTAATCACTTACTTCGTACATCTTTAATAGTTTGATTTTTATTACTCCTTAATTCATTTGAGACGGCTTTGTGAGACAAGCCCAAAATAAAGAAAGTCCAGCCTCTAAGAAAATGCACGGGTTTGTGGCCCGAAGAAAACGGGCTTTGCGGGCTTCAGATATCTGTATTTATGAGCTTCTTCTAGCCTAGATAATGTCCATCATTTTTTGACGAAAAGGGATAACGACCATATCAATTCTCTCTATATTCTAGCAAAATCGGAAGCTAATATGAAAGTAATTATTGAATTGAGGATATCAGATGATCGACAAAATAAATCAATTTCTCCCGATTCATCTACAATAACTACAACATCCCCGTAAAAAAAATAAAAAATAAAAAATAAACCTGCAACATCAGAAAATCTAGGTATTTCATATTCCTATATTTTCCTCTATTTTCACAAACCAATTGGATGATGTTGTTTTATTTTTTCTAATATAGAAAAAAAATAGTTCAAGTACAGAGAAAGAAAAGGTTGATAAACAAGTAGTTGAAAATGATGTTGGTAAGTTTTTTTTTTTTTTTTTTTTTTTTTTTTTTTTTTTTTTTTTTTTTTTTTTTTTACAGCTGGGATACAAAATAACAGTGTGTTGCCTCTACCTCCATTTCCTAGCCTTTAGTGCCAGATCATGAGCTCTAGAGGTAACACTCTTGGGAACATAACAACAACCAAAAATAAAAGAGTCTAGAGCTTAGGTGAAGGATATCCTAGACCAAGTTCCTGAGGTCCTTTGGTGCCTGGAGCGGGTTCTGATAGCTTCACACTAACCTTGCTATCCATTCTGATTTCCACTTGGTCGAATAATTGGTATGCATCGATGATACCTTCCCTTATAGCCAACAACTCACATTGAAGAGTCGAGTTTCCTACCACACGTTTACCTCCCTCATGTACTAAGGATTCCTCCTTCGAGATGACCCATCCTATTGCCGCTGAGTTTAAACTCCTACGTGCCTTTTCCATGCCCCGTCCACTGTTTACAACTACTACTTCCTGTGGATCATGCGTTCCCCCTTTTGCCAATAATTTAACTCCTCTCTCCCCTGATCAGTAAGCGCTTGCCCTCTCATAACTGCACTCCCCTTATTTAGTCCCCCTATCACTGTAGTCATTGCTTCATTAATCATATGCAAGATTCGGATAGGCAAAACACTAGCGCTTCTAAAGATGATGTCATTTCTATGCTTCCA